AATAACATTCACAAAGTGTTTTGAGCCCCTTTTTCTATAGAAAACTGCTGTGCAGTTAGGGTGGGGGTGCAAATTTCTACTATAAATAAACAGAATGAGAGAAAATATTTGTAAAAAAAAAAAACAACAAAGGACTGATATCCAGACTTTATAAGGAAAAAAAAAAAAAACAAAAAAAAAAAAAACATTAAAAAGTGGGGAAAATACACGAAGAGACATTTTTTAAAACAAGGCATTCCGTGGCAAACAAGCATAGGAAAAAATTTCCCAGCATCACTATCATTAAAGAAACGTAAATCAAAACCGCAATGAGATACCATCTCATACCAGTCAGAATGGCTATTGTTAAAAAGTCAGAAAACATGTGTTGCTAAGGTTCTAATAAAAAAGAACACTTATACACTGCTGATGGGAATATAAATTAGTTCAAACATTATAGAAAGCACTGTGGCGATTTCTCCAAGAACTTAAAACAGAATTACCATTCCACTCAGCAATCCCATTATTGGGCATATAGCTGAAAGAATATAAATCATTCTATCATAAAGACACATGCACACATATGTTCATTGTAGCACTGTTCACAACAGCACAGTCATGGAATCAAACTAAATGCCTGTCAACAGCAGACCGGATAAAGAAAATATGGTACATATATATCATGGAATACTACGCAACAACAAGAAAAGAATGAGGTCATGTCCTTCGCAGCAACATGGGTGAAACTAGAGGGCACTATCTTAAGCAAAATAGCACAGGAACAGAAAACCAAATACTGCATGTGTGGGTTTTCTGGTTTGAACTCCCATATAAGTGGGAGTTCAAAATTGAGTACACATGGACACAAAGAACGGAACAGATGCCGTGATCTCCTTGAAGGTGGAGGGTAGGAGGTGGGTGAGGATCAGAAAACTGCCTATCTGGTCCTATGCTGATCATCTGGGTAAGGAAATACTGTGTACCTCAAACCTCTAAGACATGCAATTTACCTATATAAGAAACCTGCACATGTATACCTGAACCTAAAATAAAAGTTAAAAAAGAAAGATCGTATTGTTGGACATTGAGGCCATCTGAAGACTGCCTTTCCCAGTAAAAGACACTTCCATAGAGCAAATTACAGGGGGGCAGCAAAAAGTAACATAATTGAACTATAAGATCTCATCAAGAACTAAGAGAATGTTACTTACTAGTGTATATATAAAGATGTAAGATTTCAAAGAAAACCTGTCTTCTAAAGACATTAATAACAACTCCACATGTAAAATACTCAATAAACATCTGTATCTGTATCTGGACGATTGCACCATCTACCTCATGACAGTTTAGCGTCCCAGGCCTAGATATGCCTGGGAGTATGACTATGGGTAGGGACATTAATTTGTGAATATCACTCAAATGACTGCTTCTGTTTGAAGTTTTCACCATTACTTTTAATGACAAAAACTGCAATTACCTCTGCACCAACCTAAGAGTGCTTGGCTACTTTCTTTCAAGTGTGATACGGGCCTCTCAATATCTCACAGTGGAGCACAGTTTTGAACGCAACTTTTAATAACAGTTGAGAGAGAGTCCGGGAGTAACAGCCAATAGAAACACAGCAGACGGGAAGTTAGAACTACCCAATGTGGCTGTGTGCAGAGCTTAATTTCATTCATTCCACAAGGATTTATTGGGCATTGACTATCTGTTTGGGGGCTTTTCTAAGTGTGGTGGTTAGTGTTGGATTTTTAGACAATAAGTATGAAAACACACCAGCAGATAAATCAGATCATTTTCTATAGTGACAGCTGTAGTGAAGACATTATAGCAGGGGTGAGATGGAGGGAGACAGTGGGTACTTAGGAGCTGCTTTTATTAGAGTGATACAGGTATGAAGACCTCAGTGAGATGGTGAGTCTGGAGCTGAAATCCAAATGATGAGACAGAGGGGGTTACACGGCACTCTGAGGAACCTCTGCACAGATAGGTACAAACCTTGGTGTGACTCAAGTAGTTTCCTAGACAAGAACTTGGCAAGAGCATAGTTAAATTGTTTCGGGGGCAGGGATTGAGTCTCAGGAGATACTATGAGAGCCAGAGCCTCTGCTGGGGGTCCAGGACCTGGAAGAAGTAGCCCAGGGTAGCATGAAAACCCAGGCGGGGATGGGGCAGGCCTCGGATTGAGGGGCAGGGAGCAGCCCCAAAACACTAACTGTTGTAAAGAATGATCCTGCTCCTACAGCCTCCATTTGCCTAATGCAATGGACAGAATTTTTACATTCTCACAAAATTTATATACCACACGTTAACCCCCAAGGTGATGATGTTAGGAGGTTGGTACCTGGGAGAAGATTGTGTTATCAGAAGAGGGTGTCCAGGTTCTTGGCATCTTGAACAAAGAATTGGACAAAATGTGCCAAAAAAAAAAAAAAAGAATGAAGCTGCAAAGAATGAAGGGGCGCAGACCCTACCTATTGGGGATCACAGGACTCTCACCTTTCTCTGTTTACCGGAATCAGGGAAGCTCCCTGATGGCCAGGGGTGGTGTCTTCACCTGGAACGGGCTGGAGCCTTTGTTCCATGATCATTTAAAGCTAGATGATCTCTAGGTGAGAGGAAATGAATTTGGTTAAGCATTTAATGGGAACTTCAGGAGTTGATACTTATGCTGTCAAGAATGTTTATTATAGAGATTTGCAAGAGAAAAACAAAATACTGTTTGTGGTGTGTTCTAACATGTATGCATTTCCTTGAAGTCTTAGAACTGGCGACTCCACTTTGGTTTGGTTTGGTCTGTTGAGGCTTAGAACATGAGCTCAGTCCAAAACCTGCTTCCCTCTTTTGGTTCCTAAATAAGACAGTTACAGATGAAAGGCTACCCGCCTCCCCCAAATTTTGTCCACAAGGAAATTCCTGGTGAGCTGTTGAAACTTCACCATGGCAATGCAAAGTCATAGCTTATCTTCACAGGGCAGTCACCCTGGCCCACCAGACTCAAATATGTATCTGGTTGTTCTTCCCCTACCCCATTTTGTCTGTGTCAGCTTATGTAAAATGCAGACTCCCCACATTTTTTTTGTTTATGTGAAAACTGTGTGCTTCTTAATATCCTGCCCTTTCCGCTTTAAAATTGGGGCCACCAAAATCATCTTCAAAGAGACCCAATGGAATAATTAAAATGCAACTGGCTAAGTTCACGGATGCATTTCACCTCCTCTGGCCCAAAGCACTCCCCATATTGCTGCTTCCACTCCAATTCACCCCTTTTGAAAAATAGCAACTGTTTCCTGATGAAATCATAACATGAAGGCCCATGTGTATGGGAACAAACATAACCCAACGTTTTGCAAGGGCAGATATATTGAAATATTGTGAGGGACTTATTTATCACCTTTAAAAAAAGCAAAGATTTGGTAAAGAGTTCCTTTCACAGTGTGCTTTCTGAAAATAAGGTGCCTGGTCATGATCTGCAACATGGAGGTTTTGTCTTTTGGAAAAGACATCTAATAAAGGATTCCCTTCAACCCCGATGGAAGGGCTCATAAGAGGTACTATTGGCTAATTTATGTGCTGCAAAATTAGAGGGTACAGACTCATGGATTCACATCTCTCACTTTAAAAAGGGACAACCTCTGAGTGGAATGTAACTCCTGCCAAAGACCAGCGCCTCCAGTTCACTAAACACTGACCTTCAACCCAGGATTTGAAGCAGACAATGTTCCGTAAGTAGGTTATGCTTGGGCACAAGGTTGCGTAATTCAGACCCTGTCAAAACCAGGAAACCTTCTTCATTTACAATCTTGTTGGACATGTTCAGTATTCCAATGGCACAGTCATTTAGCTTCAATCATTTAGGTAGGTGTGGAAGATGTTATATGTCATATAGAGGCCTTAACAAATTATACCCAAAAGGCCCTGAATGATATGATTACTGTATTTTGTAAATAGAAATACCACTACTAAAACCAGAAAGCTAAACATAGAATGATGTCTTTTGTTTCCAAGGTCCACACAGTAGAGTGATTCAAAAATAATAATAGGCCAGGTGTGGTGGCTCACGCCTGTAATCCCAACACTTTGGGAGGCTGAGGAGGGTGGATCACTTGAGGTCTGGAGTTCGAGACCAGCCTGGCCAACATGGTAAAACCCTGTCTCTACTAAAAATACAAAAATTAGATATGTGTGGTGATGCATGCTTGTAGTCCCAGCTACTAGGGAGGTTGAGGCAGGTAGAATCCCTTGAACCCAGGAGGCAGAGGTTGCAGTGAGCTGATTTTGTGCCACTGCACTCCAGCCTGGACGACAGAGAAAGACCCTGTCTCTAATAATAATAATAATAGCAAGATACTTTATGGCAAAGTTTTCTGAAGGTAAACATTGCCACCACAAGCGCCACTGGTGAGTATTCTTGGGGCAAATGGGAAAAGGGTTAAACGCAAGGTAGGTCATCGATAAAGTACAGTACCTGTTTGTGAGTTCATTTTTATCTCCAGTTCGACATATTCATTAACATGTTTTTTAAATAGAATAGGGATCTTATCAAGTAATTTAACTTTGTTCATACATATAGGCAGGGCCCAGAGCGATTAAGAGCACATGTGGTTTAAACATTGTTATCTTTGGTTTGTGAATTGCGTGGTAAGTTTGAAAATATTTGCCATTGAAGCCAGTGACTATTTGCCTCGAGGATAAATGAGAAGAGCTTCAGATGCCTGCTCTGCAGGGATGAGTAGAGCAGGCCCATCTGCTGTCAGGTGCAGACAGTTCTCCACCCTCGTCACGGCGTTAACGCTCACCAGGTGTGTTCATCTCAAAGCGCCTTGATAGTGTTAACTCCAAGCTCCTTTGAGTGTTGCTGACTCACTGTGACCAGGACTTCGACGGCGTGTCAGATCTTCTCGTCACCAGCCTGGATCACTGTACGTCTTCTGAGTTGCACAGGTGTTTTGCTTTTGTGTCGGGTGGTTGGAAAGAAGCGGATGAAATAGAGCCATTTGTTTCTAAATCATTTCATTTATGGATGCTCTTGCCTAGTGTGTTGGAGGCTGGTATCTGCCTTCCCAGGAGGTGGGGTGGGGGGGCCCAGCTGAGGACCTCATGGTGCACTCTGAGTTTTTAAGACTTTTCATACAGCGTGAAGTAAAACAAAATGTGCTACTCAAAATGTATTTTTGGGTATATTTTGATATTGCTATTAAGAGGGACTACAATTCAGAGAGGCTGCTGACACAGAAATAGCCCTGAAAACTTTCTTCCCTGGCAGAGATTTGTAAGTGCTGAGGAAATGGACCTAGTGAAGAGAAGAGAGTATAAAAGCCTTTCTCTGAGCCCCTCCCCCCTTATCTGCCTAATTGGATCAAGAAAATATTAACTCCCAGGAAAAAACAGACTAAGATCCTGGCACTTTAAAGATCTGACAGAGAAACTTCTCCACAGGCCACCGTGTAGGTTCCTGAGGGAGCTTGGGCAGCCCTTGAGAGGCTCACGTCTGTGTGGGGACAGCCTTGGCTCGCCATGTGCACCTCTCCAACAACGTAAGGTATTGTGGTCTTACACAACCACTATTGCATATGTGGTCCATCATTGACTAAAATGTTCTTCTGTGGGTTATGACTATACATCAAATATAAGTGGACTAAATTCCCACATCAAAAGGCAGGTAGATTTGCAGAATGAATTACTAAAAGCAGAATGCAACAGTTATCTTTTCATTATACTGTAATTTAGCAAGTATTCAGTAACTTTCTGTCTAAAGAAACAATCTCTGAAAGAGAAAAAACGTGGATTGGGTGGGATAAGGGGGAAGTTTTTAATATATTTCTCATTGTCAATTAGACAACAACATCAGAGACACAAAACTCATACCACCTAAGCAACACACTACCCATTCCCACACCCAATAATATGGTACTGGGTCATATTATTATTATTACTAGTCAAAGAGGAGACATAAGGATAGATGCACAGGACAGAGATCCTAAGATGTCCTGCAGCTGGCTTTGAAGATGGAAGAGGCCATTAACAAAGGAATGCATCCTCTAGAAGCTGGAAATGGTCAAGAAATTGATTTTGCCCTAGGCCCTCAAGAAGAAATGTAGGCCTGTGGACACATTAACTTTAGCCCATTGAACCAGATATTGGAATTCTATCCTTCAGAACTTCGAGAAAATTAATTTGTGGTGTTTCAAGCCATAACGTTTGTGGTAATTTGTTACAGCAGGAACAGAAAACTAATTTGGACATAATCTTAGCAATTCTCATTCTCTCTCTCCTGCATCACCAATTTTTCTCTCTCTGCTAAGTTCTTCCTAAGAACATACATGCATGCTGTTTTGCTGTCATCACAAAAATAATCCTCATTTTAGTTCATTTTTCTCAGTGGTTGCTCAATTACCTGGTCCCCTTTACAGCCAATTATTTGAACATGTTCTACTCTCTGTATCTAATTACACTCATCCCACACTTTGTTGAATGCACACCATCCTGACTCCCACCCCCATCATGCTAGCAAAACATTCTTGACTTTGTTAAGGTCAATAGTCAATCCCAACCGTCAATGTTGAAAACCTGTCTTACTTGTCCTATTAATGACATTTGACTCTTTTCTTCTGAAAACAAGTTCTGCATTTAGCTTCCAGGACAGAACAATCTCTCCCTTTCTCTTGCAACTTCATGGCCACCCGTCAGCCTCCTCTCCTCATACATGCCATTCTATCGCCATGTAGAGGCCTGGGAAATGCGGGATTCGGAATTGGAAAATTGCCCAGCACAGTATCAAAATGATGGCATGTGATCACTTCCCTGGGGCCCTGGGACCAGGCTGACCCAACCAGCTGACAGCAGCATAGCTGGTGCCAACACACAGTGCTGAAAGCCGGGGCCCCTCCTTCTATGTCCACGAAGGGGCAGCATTACCACATCACACCACAGGAGAGCCACAGAGCGTCTGTACTGAACTGAGTGAAGAGGTCCTGCCCCAGACCAAACTCCAAAAACTGTTAATAATTAACACTCCGATAAAAACTACATCAGAATTTCTTTTTTATTTGCACCCTTATCAGGATTACAGCTTTGTGAGGACTACACCTTCATCAGGAATGAATATTTCTTTTACAATGCAAAGAAAAAAATCAAAATTTTCTGATTGAAAATGTAAAAAGGCAAATATTTTTACAGTTTTAACTTTAATTTTTTATGAAGGGCCAACTATTTTAAAAATTCTCATTAGTCATTTCTTTAAATGATGTGTACATGAGAGAAAGATGTAAGATGGTTAATAAGTATTTCAAGTGGTGCAATATAAAGAAGGGGCGTTATTATGACAAACAAAAAAAGGCATGTGTAGCTGGAGGTTGTTGTAGTCTGACATACGGTCACTATTTACGAATCTTTTTGAATAATCTATGTAATATAGAGAGAGATTCTGAATACAAAAAAAATTCTTCACATATAAATCAATGAGTTTATTATGACCGTATATTATAAGAATTTACTTGGGAATTCTCTTTGATAAGAAACAAGGGAACTGGATTCAGTTTTCTCCACAGTCCATATAAGGCTGCAATGTCCTTCCTCTTACAGGCTATTGGTAACCACTGGTCCGCGTGCAGTGGGGCGGTGCCTGCCCATTGTTCTTATAATCTCTGAGGGAAGAAGAAACAAAAAATATTTGCAAGTCAGACAAGTGACGGGGAATGGATTCCAAACACCAGTGTGTGAAGCTAAATGATGGTCACTTCATGCCTGTATTGGGATTTGGCACCTATGCACCTCCAGAGGTAAAAAGGATTTCTTTCAGTGTTGAGCTTGCAAAGGATTAAACCTAGTAAAAGTGAAGCCCATCTTGGGTTGTAAGGTTCATGTTCCTACATTACTCTGGGTCGCTCTCTGGTCTAGGTTTCACCAGGGTTGAAGAGAAAAAGTAGTCAATCCTTGTTCTGCATTGAGATCCGGCCCCAGGTCACGTGCTGCTTGCTTTTATTTTGTGCAGTTTCTTTCTTCTGTGTGTATCTAGTTCCCAGCTTGGCAGAATATGTAAAACTCAGCGTTGAAGAGCACTTGCCGGTCGGCTCCCTCTGGTGGACATGGATTGCAGTGGGAGTGGTTTCTCTCTACAACTGAAGAAATCTTTCCTTATTCCAAGAACATATGATCCAGAGAAATATTGATGGCAAAAAATGCTGGATATGGTGTGCACAAAACTGTTGGCAGAGTGTTACTGTTCTGATGGGCGGCAGTGAGCACCACCCAGTAATACTGGAGCTGGATGGAATAGAGTTTCCACGGTTCTACTCTCACCTGCAGAAAAACTTCCTGAAAGAAAAGATGTAACCTCATTTTAAGTAAAATCTAGAACCTAACAAGGAAAAGTCTAAATTCTTAGTCCTTTTTTGTATGCATCGTATTTGTATCAAAGTGGTAGTGGTTGTCTTCTGACACAAAAATGAACAAAACGAAGACTTCATTTTCTAGATGGAACTACTACACTGGAAGAAAAGTGCTATCCCAAAACGGTCCTCAGGCCACTAAGTGTGTGAATAGGGACTAATTATCAAAATTAGAGCCTCACTTTATCTGTAAGTTGTGATGCGCTACAGGGATACATTTTCTAGATCATTGACAAAGGTGATTTAATTTTTAATATAAATTGGCATGGGCAGGAAGCAAAAATGAGGGCACCACTGAACCTCTAGCCTTGGTAAACATTTGCGTGCTGGTGCACAAAAGACCGCCTCAGGAGATGGGAGTGAGACCTGGCATCTAGTTCCTTGTAATTTCAATGAAAAAAGGAAGCTTCTTAAATACGTTTAGAAATGGAAAAGAGCTTATTTATATTTTTTTCATTTAAAAATATCTTTCAAATCTTTATCCAAATTTGGTCAATAAGTCAATAATTTCAAATTTCACTGGAATTCTATCTTTCCTGAAAGAGATAGCCTGATTTTTTATGGCAGAAATGTACCTTACTAAATTCTTACAGATTTCAGTGAATGTTTAATGTATAAATCGATATCCTCAGAGTATACATCTGTACTCCTAGTGTTCAGTTCTGTCATGTAGCCAGAGTGGCTATGTCAAAAAGACTTAACGTAATAGCCTACTATCCACAGATGCATTATTTCCCCATATGAACCCTAGCTGGGTCCATGTAACTAGCACCCAGTCAAAATCTCAAGAACTGAGTCACCAAAGAACATCTCTTGTAGACAGCATTTCCCAAATATGCTGTGGGAGGAAGTCTGAGTGAGTAGTCTGTGTAACATCACTGGGAGAGAACTCATATGAGCATGGACTGTTTCCCTTCCAGACCCCATGTGCCTTTTACCCTGTGTATTATCACTAAATTAAAAATAATTAGGACATTTGAGTCCTGTTAACTTTACCAACAAATCACTGAATCTGAGGGTGTTGTTTGGTACCTCCATAACAATGATCAACCAGAGATAGCCTGGGACTGAAGGTATTTCTAGAATGCTCAACCTTTATTGCTAACCAGGAAAGACCCAGGCAAAGTGAGATGGGATTTTCACCCTATATACCAAGACAGGAAGAAAAGCTGATTCTTGTAAAGGTCAATGCTCATGCCTGAACTACCTCTCAGCCACACTGATCTCCAGATGCTACCTCTGGTTGCTTCTCCAGGTTCCCAGAAGTAAGGCTGCAGAGTTCACAAAATTAGCAATAGAAGCTGGGTTCCGCCATATTGACTCTGCTCATTTATACAATAATGAGGAGCAAGTTGGACTGGCCATCCGAAGCAAGATTGCAGATGGCAGTGTGAAGAGAGAAGACATATTCTACACTTCAAAGGTACTGTGCCTATGATGAGCTTGTATGCACATGTATTTAATGTGATTGTATAGAGATGGCAATTCTGACTGGATCAGTAGTTGTGGGTGAATTGTGCTTCTGGGTTCAAATTTATTCACATATATTCACATATTAAAACTTAAATCAAAATCAGTGAATGATGACCACTTTTCATTTTGCCTGCATTCAAATGTATGGCCTGAAAGTCCCTTTACTTTTTTGAGCTTTAACTCAGATCAGTGTGATTTGACATGTGCTATAGAATCACAGAGAATGATAATCATGTTATGGTTTTTCATATCTCCTGGGTGATTTTCTAAGATTTCTTATTATTCTCTCAATTTTCATCTTTATCAGTGAGATAGAAAGCAATGTAAAAGTGCTCTGGGTGTATTAAATAACACATACTTAAATTGTCCTAAATTGTGTCCAGTATAATAAGCATGTTCAAACCTTTGTTTTTAACCACCTTTTTATGTTGCTTCAGTTTTTAGCAAAATAAATAGCTATTCTTAAACATTGAGTTGAATGGATAAAAGAATTAGACTGTTAAAATGAGTTGTAAACTCTACCAAAGATAATTCAGATAAGAGCATGGTTATTGCTTGATACTGAATTTTGCCTTTCCTCAGTAGATGATCTACTATTGTGTTATACACATAGTTTATACATCTACTGAATGATACAGCTATCATTCAGTAGATGTATAAACTATGTGTATAACACAATAGTAGATCATCTACTGAGGAAAGGCAAAATTCAGTATCAAGCAATAACCATGCTC